TTCAAGCTTTTGGAACTCCTCGTACTTTGCTGATGAACCAAATTCCTTGTCCTTGTCCAAAGCCTCTTCTGAATCCTCAGCACAGCAACTAGTATTCCGTCTCTTGTCGGCACCCTCTTCCCAACCATCCTTTTCTACCCTTCCTTTCTTGCGCTCTCCTTCCAACTTACTGATTCCAATATTTTTTCCCTCAAACCCACCTCCCTTCCCTCCTTCTGGCCTCCTAAACAGCCAGCATTTTGATCCTCCACATCCAAATTCCATGGTTGAAACGTGTTAGGAGGTAGCTCGACAACAAATTCACCAAAAGAAATAACTTTACGTATTTGCTGACCAAGCCTTGTCTCCTTCTTTCTTCCACCACAGGGTTCCTTTGAATCAAAGATATTCTCAATCATCATCTACCTTAATCAAGTCATCCTTTGGAAATAGGTCCACTAACATTGATATTGTGTTCTCCACTTATTTGATGATTTACTTGCAATCACATCCTCAACAAATTCATGACTATTAGCCAAAGGAGTAAGAGGAACAAGAGAAGATTGCAAACTGCAATGTGATAACATTCCAATTCACTGTGATCAATAATCCAAAAGCAGTTCATAAAACGAAGGGGCATAAGATTCTCAGATGGCACTGAGGGGGAGATTTTTTCTTCAAAAACCTGTTTGTTTCTTTCTTCCCATACCCCTTTCCAACAAATTTGTCATTGCATGGTTTCCAGAGATGCAAAAAGTTGCAACATCTCATGGGGCACAAATGACCATTCCCCCACCCTCAAATTTGTTGGAGTTTGGATCTGCTGACCACAAGACGCTGGCCGCATCTTGTGCACAAGACACCACAGCTGCACATTGGTAACATCTCCCTATGAATGATTACAAAAGGTACAAGAGATGTTGTGTGGTTGGCTATAGGGTGTTATGGTAAGCATCTTTTGGTCAGCAGATCTAGATTCCATTTAGTGTTCCCAGGACCAAAAAAGCTTCCCGATAAATCCAGTAGTTGTTTCACTGTTCCAGGAATACCAGAAATGTCCCAATGTAACATTTCCAAATGCTGTCCAAGTCAATCTTACATATTCTGAGTAACTCAACTGTAGGTCACCAGAACACTTCCCTTGAGCTTAGGAAATGCTTTATGAGCAGTACTAAATGAAACAATCTCCATGTCCAAATTAACATAGCATGTCTTTGCCTTTTTTTTTTTTGATGAGTTATGCACATGTTAATTGTTTATAAATACAACTTCTAAACCAAAAATTAAATCAGTAAATGATTAAAGGAAAACTTAAATCTGGTTTTCAGGGGAAAAATGACTGCATTTTTTAGCAACCTCCTTGGTTCCAAGGAAAACACACATACACATAAAGGTATTAGAGCCATGGATACACTCTTTACCAACCCAAAATAGGTTATAAGCACTCATATCAATATGCCAGAAAAAGGTCTTTACCCAATGTTGGCCCCAACGATATGTCAAAGGGAGCATGATCAGCTATTTCTACTACTGAAATGTTTATATTTATGGTTATGCAGCCCGTCTAGTGGGTCGCCTGGGCAATGGACCTTTCAAAGCAATAGTCATTGCCCCGGTATGCTTTATTTACACTGATAAATTCTTATCATCGGAATGTATTTTCCATAAATCTTTAGTATTTTCTATAGCCAATGATTTATTAACTTTTATGGTCCTTTTAATAAATGAAAACATGACTTAATGCTTAATGCAAATGATATATCAAATGAGAAAATAGTTTAACCTTGCATATGCATATAAGCTTCTGAGGTCTCAAGGTTTTATATCGACACATGTGTTGTTAAGTCGAATACTGACCCAAATCTTGATTAAAACATAGCAAATCTTGGTTTGATCGCCAAGTAATGGTCATTCCAAACTGCCACTCATAAATCTTGGTTTGGCCCAATCTGAAACATAGCAATCTTGGTCTGAAGCATCGGATTACACCTAAAACTATATTAAAACTTTTCCTAGAGAATTCCAATTAAAAGGACAAACTTAACAACAGATTAATTCCTATACCGGGGCACCTCATAACGAGCCATTGCAGACAAAATCAAGATAGTGCAGTAAAGCTAGAATAATATAAAGATGGATTGCATTAATGTGTAGCCAATAAGCACATGCTTATCTGCAATTAATACAGAACACTGTGTGTCATTCTGGGTATCATCTGTCAAGAAGAAATTAAGCACAAATGCAGGGTGTCAAATGGCTCCAAGTGGCACCCTGAGTGGTGTATTTATTAATTGCAAAGACTCTGCTGACGCTGACAGAAGGATTTCCCAGGTGTCAATACCTATTAAAAGTTGAATGCATGTTCATTCAGACACACATAACACACATTAGAAATAATATCTTATGGGGGTTCTTTTTAAGCTATATATCTATTTATGGGTAATGATGGGAGCTGATGTTTCACCTAAGGCAACAAAAAATACATGAAATTCCAAACAAAAAGAGGAAAAAAAATCTCAGGAAAAGCAGTTGATAGTTTTGTTATGAATATAGAGAATTGATCTTTTATTTATCAACAATTTCATGGAATATGACATTTTTTAGTGGAAACTCAGAAATTTTCAGTCTCAATGGCTATGAAGATTAAATCCATATGCAAGTACTGATACACCATGGTTTATTGGTCTTTTGGTAAGGTTATTCATATATAGAAGAAGAAGATAAGACAGGACCGCTGATTCACAGATATACTTAATAAGCACAAGTAAGTCACAAATCCTCCTTTTGTTGAACAAACAATTCAAACATTGGCATTTCCACTTCTAGATCATTAAAGTTCAAAACTGAATCATGAAAGAAAAAGAGAACGGGAACATCCAAAAAGAATGATACAGAAGAACTGCAGACCTTCGTAGTCAATTTAAAATCCCCTCTGACCCACGACCCACTTCTCACGTAGCGATGTCAGCACAGCCAACATAAACCCAATGCTAAATCAGCAACATCCTCAGTAAGAACATCTGGAGTATTGGTAACCCTAATCCCTCTCTCCTTGCAGTTCACCAGATCAACCTTATCCAATCCAACGCTGAAGCATTTTCAAAAAAAAAAAAAAAAAATCCAACGCTGAAGTTAGAGACAATCTCTAACTTGGGCGACAAATTGATCATCTCGGCATCGCGATCAATCATCGCGCTCTAATCGAATTCGAATGCTCCTTCAGAAATTCCTTCTTATTCTGGGATTCCCAGAATCTGAAGAGCTTGAATCGCTTGTCGAGCTCCTCTTCCAGGAATGACGAGAATGTGCTGGTCATCAGAACTCCGATGGCTTCCATTTCTGGTGGATATCGAAGAAGAACAAAGATTTAATATTAAGACTGTGTTCGCTCCGACCTTCTTATTCTTCTTCTATTCTCGTCAGTGGCTACTCATTCCCAGTACTTGGGAGAACTCTTTTTGTTCGTTCTCTGTTGTCCAGTGATTACACATTTACACTGGTTCGGAATCTTCATTGATATTTTTCCCGTATCGGACCGAATCAGCGATTTGTTTCGCGCGACGAGTTCTTCCGAGGTCTGAAGTCTTAATGTCTGAATTCTGATTCTATTTTTTTGGCAAATTACAGATAACTACCCTGTACTTAGGGTGGTGGTAACACATAGCCACCTCAAACTATGTGTTGCGATAAAACCCCCTCCCATATTTTTAGATTTCAGCAGTTTACCGCTCCCTGACTGCTAATGGGTTAACGGTACAAGTAAAATTACTAAATTAAACCATTTGAGATTGATTCGTCAGTATTTCGTCTACCAACAATAAATATTAAAATAACCACTATAGAGCACAAATTGTTTTTTGGGCAAATTATTAATTCCCCGGCCTCACAATGATGAACTGATCATTCACAAGCATTCTCAAGATAAACTATGTTGAACAAAAAAGTTAGATAGAAAAAAAAACGTCAAAATGGTAAAATTGTCTCACAAAATAGCGTAATGGTAGTTTGAGGTTTTAGAAATATTTAAAAGAATATTCGAGAACCTAACTTATAGAATGCTAATGATGCGGACAAGGTGATGGAATTCAAAAGATCAAGGGGTTTGTCACAAAAGTATTTTTATAAAAGTGTTTTCATAAAGGTACTTTTATAAAAGTGTTTTCATAAAGGTACTTTTATAAAAGTGCTTTTACAAAAGTGTTTTCATAAAAGTGCTTTTATAAAAGTACTTTCATAAAAATAATTTAATAAAAATGCTTTCAAAGGATATATTTTGAAAAATTAAAAGAAAATGAAGGACAAAATAGTCACAAATGCTTATTTAAGTGCTTATTAGAGAAAAAGACTACCGAACACCCAATATAAAATATAAAAAATAAGCACTTGAAAAAGTTGGGTGTCAAATGTAAATAAGTGCTTATTCGAATAAGCACTTATTTTTAACTTAAGCACTCCCAAACATGGCCGAAGTCATGGATGCTTGAGCATGTTGATATTGTCTCCTGCCAAAGAAATGTTTCAAATGCAAGTGTCAGTCCTTACTCCAGATAAAGACATCAACGGGCTTTTAGCTTTGGATTATTCCTTCATGAATTGTATACTAATTAATCATCTTACAGCCAATCCTCAATTATTCAATTCTGCAAATCTTATTTTTTTAGCCAATGTGCTTAAATTTTTAATTCTAGACCCTTATTTCATACTCCATGAACAATATTTTTTTAGTCTTACTGATTGGCTTATAATTTTGGAGATCCATAATATTTACTTGCTTAGCAGATGAAAGAATGCAGAACCAGAAATTTTAGAACTGAAAATGGTCTTCTATACACCCAAATGTTCCTTTCTATCTGAACCATGAGCGAGTTAAAAAGGCCAATTTGTACAATCCTCCCATGGATTCATAGGCCCAAATTCATCTTAATTTTGTTTATTTAGCTTGACCAAAACCAACCTCTGTAGGCTGCCTGTAACAGCAGAAATGGTGTGGAAATATGTTAGAACTTAGAATAGACCAACCCTTGAATCCAATTTACCTAAATGCCGATCATTGAAGTATTGGAAATGTTCATTATTTTTAGTTTTACAATGACTGTAATACCTTCAGGGATAAGCCAGCAATCTCATTTCTCCATGTTGTATTGACTCAATAACTTCTATGTACAGGAAATACCAACTTCATCTGCTAACTGTTCCCTCCACCCATTTGTTTATACCCCCAAAGTGTCGATAAGCAACCCGGAAACCCCCCTCCAAAAAGAAAAACCACCAATAAAACAGAAAACAGAAAAAAAAAGAAAAAAAGAAAGTATAAAATGCTATGACATAAGATCCAAAACAACCTCCTGAATCAGTTGGTTTAAAACTTGCTTCTCCAATTCACCTACAACTTGGTCAGCTTCATCGGTGGAAAATCCATTAATCCAACCTAAATCCCATGCACCACCCAAAACCAACTTGCAACTGAGATCTTTTTCCAACATGATATAAAGAGTATCTACAGGAAGAACATCACCATCAATCTTGTTATAATTGCTCAAATTCTCGACTCCATCACATGCTTCCTCTACTAACTTGTCCAGAGAGATACTGATTCTTGGATTCATGAACCTAAACAAAGGATGAAACGCTTGCAATGTTTGCAGGATTTTCTGTTCCATGAGCTCATTGGCATAGTCCAAGAAGAGCCTGGGATTTGTCATTCCAACTTCAAGTACACTAGGATCCTCTAAGACTACCGACTCGTCAACATTGGCATCAAAGAGATCTGCAACACAGCTGAGAAATGATGGACTGCTAAAAAGTAATGCCTTCAGATCATTTTTGGTTATAATGCTTTTCCTCCCTTGAGTTTCTTGACTGATGAGCTTGCTAGCTTCTTCTGCATGTTTGATGCCTCTTTCATGTTCATTGGTGCAAGGTCTAATTTCAGATACAGAATTCTGGTCCTTGTTGCCGTGGTCTACAATCAAAACAAAGATATTGAATTATGTAAACAAATGCAGGTATATAGATGCCTGCCTAGGTCTAGCTGTGAAAGACCATCAACATTACTGTCTGAACAATACTTATTATGATGTATTTGTTATTTTTGAGGATGATACACTGATAGAAGGAAAGTGTCATTTGTAACAGTACAGCTATTAAGTACATGTCAACTAATACAGTACATATAAACCATTTACAGCATGAATAAAACACCACTTATGCACATTATTTAAACACTAGTTATGATTTTTCTTTATTTAAAGCTCTTTTACTTTCAAGAGATAACTTTGTTTAGTGCTTTACTTTTCTTGTGCAAACTGTAGATGAGCAAAATCTCTTTACAAAGATAGGCTTAGTCTGACAAGAGCTGAAGTAATGAACAATTCAGGAAATTTGAACCATTTTTTCTATTATCCTCTTACTTTTCTCTTAGAGGATCAATTGCCTGATCCTGTCATATATACATAAATGTATTTAGACATACATATCTGATAGTTAGATAGCACCGGTTAACATGCATATACACGAAATGAATGGAATTCGTTATTATAACAAGAAGTGCAGAAGTGAATGCAAGAGAACCTGAATGCTAGAGATGCCATATTTAATCTTTTTTGAAAATTCAACAACTAGCATTGTTCGCCGATACTATCACTAAGAAAAGATTTACCTTCAATTTCAATTTCAAAACCCTTTCTCCCTTCCCCAGCTAGGACTTGATCTGCGAGTGTTGTTGTCAAAATGCAATCTTTACATTTTAAGCCTTCCATCTGCAGAAGAGAAACTGAATTATTTTCCAGAAATCAACTTTCATATTCTTTATGCACTAGGAAAAAAAAAGAGCTTCTTAATTCTTTTATGGATGCATTTTGGTGACAAAGTCCAGGTAATGCATTTTTCTCCTCCCTGATAAAATCTAGAACAATAATATCTATCTAAAGAGCTCAGAGAAGAAACCAAGTGCCAAAAACATTGCTTGGGGCGGGGGGCAGGGGGGAAGAGAGAGAGAGAGAGAGAGAGAGAGAGAGATTATAAGCAAACTCACAACTGAATTATTTACAGTTGGATCTTTGACTGGTATTGCTTTCTTTCTGTGGTTTTTCTTCCTCTGATCAGTGGAATTCTGTAATACTGGCTTTGTAGTATTTACTGACTTAGGATCTTGAACAGTACTTTGTTGGAAAACCTGCTTCTTTGTGATGATCAACTCAATTTCAGGTTTTATCAACTTTGCAGAGGTTGATTTGGCCCGGTTTTGATATCTTTTTCCAGCTACAGATGTCACATTGTCTTTCTCTATTGGTTTTCTTTTGTCAGGTGGCACCATTTTTGTCCTCTCAGCATTTTGATTTGTTGATTCCTTGTTCTCTGGCTTTTGATTTAAGGAAGCATAAGATTTCCTCTTATTAGGAGATGCCTTTTCCTTGTTCTTGAATACCTTGACCTTGGGTTCTCTGGGTTTCTTTGTCTTCAATTCTTTCACCTCCTGGGGTTCCTTAGGTGATATTTCAGGGTCCTTAGCTCCTTCCTCCCAGATGGTCCTTTTGGTTGGAGCTTCCTCGTCTGCTTCCAGTTTCCTAAGCATCTGTGTTTGGTCCAAAATTTCCTCTTCCCCAATAACAATTTCAGCTGGAAGCTCTTTTTTCACTTTCAGTCTTCCAAGCATCTCTTTAAAGCCTGGAGCTCTCTCTTCCCTGATAATCATTTTAGGTGAAGGTTCTTCTTTCACCTCCAGTTTTGTGAGGATTTCTTTAGTATCGAAAGCTCCCTCTTCATCACTAAACCTTCCCAACAAGGACCCTTCTGTCTTTGCATATGGAAAATGTAGAGGTTTTATGATTACAATAGGTGGAATTTGATAATCAAACCTCTGTTCTGAACAGGAAGTATTGGGAAGATGGGAACGGTGTGTATATCCTTCACTACAATTGTTCTTCAAATGTTCTTTAAATTGCATGGCCTCAATAATTTTATTCAGAATCCTATTCTCTGGATTAGCACTCAAGTCCACAGATTTTGTTTTCCTAACTTTTGGCATGTCAGTACTAAAAATATGTCTCTGTTGATTTGAGCTCTTCTCACTTTCCACCTGTTTCTCAGAAGGCTGGACTTGTTCTGGTGGGAGTTCTTCCAGACCCATAAGCTTGGCAATCAAATTTGGTGACTTTGCCTTTTTATCTTGGGTTGGTGAACAGTAAGCAGATGTTGATCTACTGGAGTGAACCATCACAGACTGGCTGGAACTTGTGGAGGGAATATCCACTGTGGAACCAAATTTCCTTCCACTGCAGGAGGTCTTTTCTTCTTTGGAAATAGAGAGAAGGTTTTCCCTGTAAATGCCATCTCCGATCATTTTCTTGAGTTCCTCCCTGCATTCCCGTGAAGAGTCATCAACAGAGAGCCGAGACATTTGCAATCTTGTCTGGTAATCTTTGTCTCCAAATCGACCAGAATCCACTCTGTCAATATCCATCTCCCCCTCTTGGTCAGACCTTGGTTTCTGCTTTTTCTTCAACTGAGCCATGTATTTTGACGCTTCTTGCAGTTTTCCCAGCACGATTAGAGACTCTTGCAGATCCAGAGCACCTTTCAGAAGATCTCTTGTGATATCTTTAGACTGCCCATCAAAGCTCAAGCCCCTTGACCATGAGTCGATCATATGGTTTATCTTCTGAGCTCCTCTGGAGACCTCCAAGAGTTGAGAGGAGGGTAGAGCATGTAATTCTTCTTTGTTCCCTTTAGAGACCAATCTCTTCCTTTCTTCCCTACATACCGATGGATTTGACTGTTCCTTCTGAAATCTTCGGCAATCGCTACTAGGCTCCATCTTTCGGATAACATTCTTGGTTCTGACAGTCCGACATTCCACAACTCCACTTGGATCATTACAGATGAGAAATGATCTGTAACCAACTGATCTAGCTCTGTTTTGAGGCATTTTTCTATTGCAGAAAATTCCACTGAAGGGTCAGAAACTAGTAATTATCAGAGCATAGAACCTACCAAACTCATTAAATTTCTCCAAGAGAAACTTACATGGTCTTGGATTTCTCAATGAAATTCTTCGTGAGACTAGTTACAGAAAAAAAAAAGCAGTACGAGCCTGTTTCATGGCAAAATACAGGTAAAATGAAGTATCAGTTGCTGCCTATTCAAATAAAGAACTAAAAACTAACATGAAATCCCTTTCGTTGACAACTCCAAACCTGGGCTCTTGAGTCTTCTCAGAAGTTTCTGATTAAGATTGATAATTGACAGTAGTGGACTCTGATCAACCACATTTCTTCTGCTCTTCAACAAAACTAACCCACCAAAAGAAAGAGTAAGTAAGAAAGACGGACATGAAAAATACACCGAAGTCACTCCTCGAACGGACAACTAATGTGCTAGCTGAAAGAGAGAAAATGAAAACAAACAAACTAAGAACTTAAAATGAAAATATCATTCTTTTTCATGAAAAAAAAAAATCAAACCTGAGCTCTTGGGTATGCCGCAGTTCTGTTTTCTCAGAAACTTTTTGTTCATGTAGTCTCTTTCATTACCTCTGAATTAAAGCTTCTCTCCTTCAACATCTACTCAAGACCCCCCGATCAATAAAGCAAGCAAGAAAGAAAGAAAGACCCACGTGAGAAATCACGAGAGACCAGTCATAGAATGCGAGAATAACTACAGGCAATAGAAAATTGAGCTGAACCCAGTAACGGTTTCAGAGATTTTCACACCTCCATGTACACTTGGTGATGCAGATCCAAGAAGACAAGAAGAAGAGCTGTTGAATTGACAATGGGACTGTGGTTTCTAGCGCCGGCTACCCACTCCAGATACCGAGAACAGAAGTTGGATTTCTTGATAAATTTTTTATTGATCGAACATACAATGAAATGGTTGAATTGTTTGGGAATATAACTTTCTTCTTTTGGTTACTTCTGGTTCTTGTCGTATGCGTGGTGAAGACTGAAGAGTAACCAAAGAAGCAACTCCTTCAGAGTTCAAACATGACGAGGAAAAACCGTAAAGATGGAAAAGGAGGAAACAATCGTAAATCTGAAACCATTAACAAGAAAATTACCAAACAACCCACTTGAAACAGAAGAACTGGTCCGGAAGATTTTCAGTCATAAATTTATCTATTTGTTTATTATTTGCAATCTCATAGAATAGTCTGCACCAGTGAGTATGTTTGGTCATTATACTGTAGCAATTGGATTTATTAACCGACAACATTACAGCTATCTGCTCTCTGGGCCAAACGGATGTATTAGCCCAGAACCTATCAGACTCATCGGATATCCCTTAACAGGGCAGGCCACTACTCTCATAAACCGACCCGGATTTATAAACCACCGGTTTAACATTCGGATTATGGACGGTCAAAGCGGGTAGGACTGGTGGAGGTGGGGTCATACCCTCTGACTGACACATGATTGACGATCCAAGGAAATGGCGTTGATTTTAGTTAGAGCTGTAAACGGGATCGGATCCAGCTATATCTGCATCCGCATTCGATTATGGAATCTCTATATTTATATTCACAATTTAATTATTATTGGGATGTAAGTTCGGACATCCAAATCCGAAATAATCGATTAAGAGTCAAATCGGGCATCATACTTTTGAAGTTCATTGACAACCCTAATTTTAATAGTTCACAACTCTTGAAAGTTGCCATGTAGATGAAGATGATGCATCCAATTTCCTTTTGCACATGGCATATGAAATGGACGTCTCAATCTGCATTTATAGACCAACTTTACTGTCTATGTCACTAAAGCAGGCAACTAGCCACGTGCCAAAAGCCTAAAACCATATGGCCAACTCATTGTCAACTAACGATTTCTGACGAATCAAACGAGCTAGTGAGATAAAGGTACACACTACTGAACCCAATTCGCCCATATCCGACCCATGTACTACACATTTTCTTTCATCAATTCGTGTTGGCCTGAATTACATTTTATATTACTTTGGGTTCGGGCTTCAGATTTGGTTTTATTCAAATTTTAACAAAAACCCACCCGAACTTGTCCAAATTTTATTATTACGTTTGATTTGGAGGAAAAGTTAAGAAAAAGAAGGAAAAGCTAGGGAAATTTAATTGCACTAAATTTATCATGAAGAACCTGCAGTTACACAAGTTAGGTGATGTGATTCATATTCAGAAAGTCTGGATCTCCTGTCCACACAAACTTTGCTCACATTTACCGTAGTCACATATGGAGAACATCTCATCCTCTGCATAGTATTATGCAGGGGGAGATGTTCCCGATTCACGGGGGTAGTGTGTTGTGGGTAGACGTGAGCAAGAGATCTGAACTCATATTTAGTTTGGATATACTCCTCACAGAACATTTTTCATACCGGTCATGGTATGTTCTAGATAAACATAGGGAATATCTCTTATATTTGTATATTGTTATTCATAAGAGATATTTTCAATATACGGTGAGATGTGTGTGAGGTCCGTGTGAGAAGCTTTGAACCTGATAGGATCAAATTGACAAGCTTTGAATCCAACCCATTGATGCTTGATTAGACCTTACTCCTACCAACCAAAACTAACTGATACCCTTTTTGATTCTCAAATATGAATTGCATGAAAAATATAAAAAAGAAAAAAAAAACCATTGACTTAGGATTGCTCTCTCGCCAACTATAATATTACAAAATCTTGTAACCAATCAGGTGGTTATCAAATTCAGGGAAGGGGGGTTGATTGGTCAAAATACTTCCAATATCATGTCTTTTGGCAGTATAATATATATTTACAAAATCAAAAAGATATAACAAGCAAAAAAGAAAATTGTTTTGGGTTCCTGTAGGTTGTGTTTGGTTTGAAAGAAAATATAGGAAAAAGAAAAAAAATGTAAAAAAATTTATATAAGGTTTGTAAAGATTTTCCTATATTTTTTTTTTCTTTCCCTATTTTTTTCCTTCAAACCAAACATAACTATAGAGGATTCGTACATATGGTGATTTGGATATAAAGCAGAGTGGACCATGTTCATATGGTCACAAGACTTTGCTGCAAAAGCAATAAGTAATACATATGTGACATTTTGATTGATTAAAAAAATGCATACATTGTATTATTACACCAAAATTAAGTGGGATTTATCTATGATACTAATCATAAAAGCCCATCATATCATACAACAAAAGTGTAACCAATGAGATTTATCAAAATTGATGAGAGGTTGATTGATCCAAAGTTCTTTGGCATCATAAATTTTTACTTTTAACTAATATTTTTACCATCTAAAAACTAATAATTTTGACAAAAAAAAATGAACATGGTTCTTGATGGGGCATGATTCATGTAGTTTACCTAACCATAGAACTTTTACAAATTGTACTGAAGCCATCATCAACATCATCCGGTACATGGTGCTTTTGGACATAAAAGTAACTGGACCGTATTCATCTTTTATGGTCACAAGATTTTGCTGCAAAAGCAGTAGATATGTATTGCATTTTCACTATCTAACGACTTACAATTTGACAAGGTTAAAAAAAGGAATGATAAGGAAAAAGAAAGCATGGTTCTTGATGGGGCATGATTCATGTAGTTTACAGAAGAATGAAAGAATGAAATTTTGACAAATTGTACTTATGCCATCACCATCATCAGGTATGTGGTGCTTTGGATTGGATATAAAGCAAGTAGACTGTGTTCATCTCTTATTGGGTGGTCAGATCAGATGATTTGCTGCAAAAGAAGTAGATTTGTGCTCAGTAAATACATATATGGCATTTTTGCTAATTATAAAAAAAAAATGCATAGACAACATCACTAATTTTAATTTTTAATTAACTTTTTTATCATCTAACACACTTTACAATTTGACACCACAAAAAGAAAAAAGCAAAAAAAAACATGGTTCTTGATTGGCATGATTGTGTAGCTTGCCCCAACATGAAATTTTCACAAATTGTATCCATGTCATCATCATTTTAGATGATGGTGATGAGTGAAACTTTCCTGTTTGGGTGTGGGTGTTTGGCATTGGTGTGTTTCATAAGCATTTTGTTTTTGATGATGTGTCATGCATGCCATATTAGCAATTAAATGGAATCGGTAAGAAAATCACATTTGGTAATCTTGTTTCTCAAAAAAAAAAAAAAAGTTTTCGTAGTAATTAGCTTTGGGATTCGGAAAATGAGAGATTTCTTGAAACATCAAATTGACATTTCTTAATCACCCAAATGACATGGAGTATCAAAATTTGAAAAAATTTATTATTTTTTTTTTTGAGGGGTTCAACTGGAATCATAAACGTGATAGCAATCAAGTGTTATTTATCAAAATTCATGGATGGGTTTTGATTGGTCAAAACTCTTAAGTATAATATATAGATTTTACCTTTTATGAGATGTCACTCAATTATCATTTTAAATATATTATAATATTAAGTCAAATCACTTTATCCCAATCATTCAATCACCTGTATCTAGATTTTTTTTTTCCAAATTCCACAAACAAATGTTAAATAAAACGCTTATAAAACGCATTAGTGTCAAACACCCAATACATGAATCATGCTCCTCCAAGAATCATGTTTTTTTTTTATCAAAATTGTAAGGGAATTTTTTGGATTTGACCATGATGCCGGAAAGGCATGATAACGGAAAGACTTGCAACTAACTAATCAACCAGTGTCATCGTAAAAGTAAAAACCTCACAAGGCGTTTATGATCTCATGTATTTCTGGTATTATAGATTTTTCTCCTTTTCTTTTCTTGATAATGGGTTATACATCGGAGGTAGCCTTCTAGAAACTTTATCAGATTAACTGACAATCTGACACCTTCAAATTATAAAACGTTAGAAAGAAGATTAGTCAAGTTTAAGGTGATGTTTGGTACCGTTTGCGTTTATTCAGTAAACATTTACCGATGGTGCTATATAGGCGTTATCACAACATTTTCTTTCTTTTGTTCTTCTGCATACATTTAAAATGTAAAAAGTAAATTTTGGTTGGCATTTATATATTTATTCAATAAACATAAACGATACCAAACACATAGTAAATCAATTGTCCATTCACTCTAGTGTAAGACGTAAGTGCAGGAGATTCAAACGGAAAACAATCACAATTTTTGCCTAGGTTTCATCGTTCAGTTGTTGAAACTCTAAATGGCACATTTTGAAAATTTAAAATCCTTTTCAGCATGGACCACAATCTCCATATTCCAGAAATTATAGCCACTTGATCATTCATAATTTCAATTGGTACTAATTGAACGGTCAGAAATCATGGCCGAGCTAGGAACGGTAAACGCGTAGAGCACAGCAAACCAATCAAAAGCCTTTCTATGGTATGCCATGTCATTCACTCATTTTAGAGACGAGCAGTCGAGCAGCCATTTGATTGTGGCGCTAGCTTCCCTATTTTTATTTTTGAAACTAGGAAAAATTAAAAAGAAAAAAAGAACGAGTGATAAATAATTAATGCGTCCACGTGACATGTTATAAATGGAATCACAGGACTCTTGTTGTTGACTGGACTAGTGGACTCTGGACTCTGGACTCTGGAGCAAATCTGACCGTTTTGTCATATCGTTTTCGGTGTCCCTCATAAATGATAAATATTACGGAATCGGAGGAGCCTGCTTTCTATTCTATTTTCTACTTTTCTAGTACAATTCAAGTCTCAAGACTCATGTATTTGTAGACGGTAACACCTGTCCATAAAGGCATAAACACTATACTCACTCAAATCTCTGTCGGAAATCGGAATGGTGAAATGATTGGGTTACCATCAGGTCCGTCACCCGCTGGTGACTCGTAAGTGGTATGACGTGGCAAAATGCCTGTCCTCCATCAAACTGTGAAATTTTATCTGAACCGCATACAAAATTTGCACCCGGTTCACCATTTGTTCTATGCTTTGCACTTTTACCTGCTGCAAAATTTGTGCTTTTTTGTTTCTCATTTAGTCATTTGCTCTTGTTGGTAGTTCAAATTTTACACCTAAAAACCTGATGCAAATTTTATACAACCCTAGTTCTCTCATAGTGGGGACCATATCAT